AAGAGAACAAAACCGATAGGTAAACATTTCAACAAAGAAAAATTTCAACTATAAAAATGCCTTAAAGTTGCTGTGTTAATTCTCAAAGCAAAGTGTCCATTCTTAAAATTGTTTTCCGAGATCATGTTCAGCTACAATAACAAAATCTCTGTTTTACAAAAATAGAGCAAAACCTTGAACTAATCTACCTCAAATACCAAATACCAATACACCCTGAAACTCAGGAAAAGCACGTAGACAGACACTGGGAGGCCAGCTAGGCTGGACAAGGGGCTCATGACTGAGTTCTGGAGCACAACTGCAGTATACAGCCGGTGGAAGCTGGATAATGAAGGGGTAATTTAGAAAAATTGCCGGGCATGTAAAAGGGATGTTAGGAAAGCCAAAACTCAACTAGAGTTAAGACTTTTAAGGAACATTAAAGGCAACAAGAAGAACTTATATGGCCATATTACTAGTAAAAGGCTGAGCCAGGAAAATATGGGGCCATTGCTGAATGAGGTGGGTAATTTAGTCACAGTGTACACTGATAAGGCTGACAGTGCTCAATGCCTTCTTTGCCTGAGTTTTCACTGACAAGATTTCTCAGGCCTCTGTGCTCTGATCAGGGTTCAGGGAGAAGAGGCACTACCAGCAGTGGGTGAGGATCAAGACAGGGATTACTGTGAGAACTTGACTCATGCACATGCATTGGACCAGATGGGCTGCATGCAAGAGTGCTGCTGATGGCATTGCAAGGCTGTGGATGTATCACCTTTGAAAGACTGTGGAGATCGAGGCAGGTGTACAACATTTGAAGAAGGGCATATGTATGCATCTTTAGAAAAAGCCAAAGGGACAAGCAAGTCAGCTAAAGGCCATAGTTTGGTTCTTGAAAAAATCACGAAGCGAGTCTCAGATCATATTTCTGGGCCCATAAAGGAGAAAAAAGGTGATTTGGAACAGTCAGCATAGATTTGCCAAGCATAAGTCATGTCTGACAAAACCTCATTGACTTCTATGTTAAAATGACTAATCTCTAGATAAGGGAAGAGCAGTTGATGTTACTTACCTGGATTTTAACAAGACCTTAGACACTGTCTCCCATAATATTCAGCTATTCAGCTGAAGGTGTTATGTTCTGTATGGCTGGACAACTAGAGAGTTAAAAGACTGTTGGATGGTTGGGCTAAGAGGGTGATGGTTAATGGGTTATGCTCTGCCCAAAGCCTGGAAGTAAGTGGAGTGTCACAGGGGTCTGTCATGGGACCCATCCTGTTTAGTATCTTTATCAATGATCTGGAGTAGGTGTTGAAGTACGTACTCATGAAGTTTGCAGTTGAAACCAAACTAGGAGGACCCGTCAATGCACTCAAAGGCAGGACTGCCATGGTGAGGCACCTAGACAGACTGGAAGGATGGAAGGACATGAACGTCATGAAATTTGACAAGGACAAATGCAAAGTTCTGTACTTGGCCAAGGAAGTAATGTTGTCTTTGTCCTTGGAGATTTTCAAGACTAGTCTGGAGAAAATCCTGGGCTGATCTTGTAGCTGACCCTGCTTTGAGTATGAGGTTGAAGAGAGTCCTCCTGAGGTCCCATTCAATCTGTTTATTTTATTATCATTATGATTTTATGATCTGTTGTCTCCCAGCTGTACTCTTGAAATCAGAAACATTCGTTTTCTGAAGCCAAAAGGCATCAGAATGTGTTTAAAATTCTTATATTCATTTAAAAATGACAGGGAGAACTTTTGATTTAATTCCTACAATTAAATGTTCTAGAATGCATATGGGTTTATAGCTAACTTGCAAGTGATTTGTGGTTCATTTGGTTCAAAATTACTTTACTAACAGTGACCACTAAAATGGAATTTCCCTACCTCTGGAAAATATATTACTACATTTGGAAAAATAACAAAAAACCCCAGAAAATGTTTATATAACTAAAATAAGACAGGAAAATATTCTGAGATGACACAAAATTTGCAGGTACAAGTAAATTATTGCTCATAGGTTACTGTAAATGACTGAAGAAATGTAAACATTTCAATGCCTAATTTATTTCTTTATTCTGTATGCACAGAAAAAAGGTCCTTGGGACTTAATTTTTTAAAAACCAGCAAGTTATAATTACAAATTCTGCAGTGAAACTGCCCTGGATGTTAGTCTGAGGCAATTAAAATAAATGTCTTAACAGGAATGTAAACTACGTATAGCAAATGAGGTCAAAACCACATTTAGTCTGTTATTACCTAGTCCCCTGCAATGTAATGGTGGTCTGATATGATAATGAGAAAAGGACAAGTAATATTTTTCCAGACCATTAATCTAGCCCAGAGACTTCCTGAATTTAGTGTGCCTGCCTTGTGCTTGATAGGGCCCTTAGCAGATTTTTCTTCCCCCTATAAATTTGTGTGATCACTTTGTAAACTCAGATTGTTGAGGTAATGAATAATACCAGACATACTTAGGGAACTTCACAGCTCCTCCCAATTTGGTGTCATCAGCAAACTTTGTTAGCAGTCCTTCAAGCCCTGTGTCCAGGTCATTGATGAAGACATTACAGAGCACCAGCCCCAGGATGGATCCCTGCGGGACCCCAGTAGTTACATCAGTCACCAGCCCAATGTAACCTCATGGACCAGAACCCTGTGAGCCCAAACTGTCAGCCAGTTGCTCACCCATCACATTAGTGTCTGTTCAGCCGCATGCTGGACATTTTGTCCAGGAGGATACTGTGAGAGATGGTGGTGAAGGCTTTACTGAAGTCCAAAAGATTACATCAACTGGCTTCCCTTGGCCAACTTAGGTGGGTAACCTTGTCATAGAAAGAGATGAGGTTTGTCAAGCAGGACTTTCCTCTCATGAACCCGTGCTGACTGGAACCAATGACTGCGTTGTCTTCCAGGTGTTTTTCGGTAACTCCCAGAATGATCTTCTCCATAATTCTGCCTGGCACAGAAGTGAGACTTACAGGCCTGTAGTTGCTGGGGTGTTCCCTGTTGCCTTTCTTGAAGACTGGGACAACATTTGGCAGCTTCCAGGCAACTGGGACCTCTGCAGATTCCCAAGAGTGTTGAAAGATCATTGAGAGAGGTCTCGCTATGACATCTGCCAGCTCTTGAAGTACCCTCAGGTGGTACCCTCAGGCCCCATTGACTTATAGGGATCCAGCTGGAGCAGCAAATCCCACTCAAGTTTGGGGCTGATAGGGAGCTGATCATTCTCATAGTCATGGTGCTCTAGCCCAGGGCTCTGGAGGTTCCTGATCCCATCCTTGGTGTTGAAGACTGAGGTGAAGAAGACATTGAATGTCTGCTTTGTTGGCATCCCTGTTTGTGAGGTGACCGTGCTCATCAAGTAACGGGCCAATGTTATTCCTGGCCTGCCTTTTGCTATTAACATATTTTAAAAAGCCCTTTTTGTTGTCTTTCACAGTACTAGCCAGCTTTGAGTCTGATTGAGCTTTGACCACACAGATTTCCTCCCTGCAGTGGTGAACAACATCTCTGTAGTCCTCCCATGTTGCCTGACCTGGCTTCCACTGGCCATACACCGTCTTTTTCTGCCTTAGTTCTAGAGGGAGATCCCTGCTCAGCCAAGGCAGCCTTCTGCCTCGCCTGCTTGACTTCCGCATTTTGGGATGGCCTGCTCCTCTGCTCTTAGGAGGTGGTACTTAAAAAGTGACCAGCACTGACAGACCCCAGCACCTTCAAAAGCTTTTTCCCAGGGGACATTACTAAGTACTTCCCTGAGCATCTCAAACTCCGTTCTCATATATCCAGAGTTGAGGTCTTGCTGGTAATTTTCTTCCTGTTACCAAAGATTTTGAACTACAAAGATTTTGACTATTTTGTGGTCACTGTGGCCTAGGCAGCCACCGATAGCCATATCACCCACAAGGCCCTCCCTGTTGACAAGCAACAAGTCAAGGAAGGCACCTTGTGGTCAATTCCCTTAGAACCTGTACCATGAAGTTGTTGTCCAGCTGGTTTAGGAATCCTCTGGACCTGTTTGTACTAGCTGTGTGGCATTCCCAGTTGACATCTGGCAGGTTGAAGTCCCCCACAAGGACTAGGGCAGATGACTTGGAGGCATCCTTTAGTTCTTTAAAGAACAGCTCATCAACGTCGTCATGCTGGCTGGGTGGCCTGTAGTAGACTCCCACAACAACATCTGTTTTATTTGTCTGTCCCTTTACCCTCACCCAGAGGCTCTCAAGTGTGCCATTGCCAACTGTAAGCTCCACGCACTCCAGTCCCTCCTCTACGTTGCGAGTGCAACCCCCCTACCTCACCTGCCCTGCCTGTCCCTCCTGAAGAACCTGTATCCATCCATCATGGCATACCAGTCATAGAACTCACCCCACCAGGTTTCAGTTATGCCAATGAGGTCATATCTCTGGGACTGAGCCAGGGCTTCTAGCTTCTCTTGCTTGTTTCTCATGCTGTGTTCATTTGTGCAGAAGCACTTCAGGTACAGCTCATCGTGCCTATCGCCTTGTGGAGCTGTCTGAGGAATCCCACTAGCACGCAGCTCCTCAGACTTAGGCAAGCCATCTTAACTTTTGTTAAGATCTGGTCTTTGTAAAGGTTTGGTCTCTCTCCCTTCTCAGTTTGCAAGAAGGAAAAGATCCTACTAGAGGACATTTAGAGTTAATCAGTTGATTTAGCTTATCAGGAATAGAGATGTGTGTCTCTTCCAAAAGATTTGAAATGGACAACTGAATAAGGAGAAAGGAAACGATAGTAGAGAACAACTGCAACAGTGTCATGGATTGACAAATTTGATGAGAAAACACAGATGGAAAAATGTGTGCAGAGAACAAGAATGCCATAACTAGGGAAAGGATTTTATTTTTGTAGCAGTTGGCTCTATCCGTGTGTTGCTTTTCTTTACAGTATCTTGACAGGTTCTTTTTGAATGACAGTTGGAAGGAGGGAAAGAAAACACTGTATTTCTAATCATAAGTCTATGTTGTTGTTCCTATTTCTTTTTGAGGCTGGTTTAACTACTTATTTTCATCCTGGAATAAACCTGAAGAAAATCCATTCTTACAGCATCAAGCTCTATGAAAAGCTGGAAGAAGAGACTGGACAGGTAATCTCCTTAACCTTTTTAAAGTATTAATTCAGACCAATGTTAACCTTACTAATAGTCTTACAAAAACGTTTGGAGTTGACAAGTTGATGATGTGTGTGTGTTCATGACTATTGTATGGCTCCCATTTTATTGAAATGTATTCTCCAGCCTGCATATAATCTCTAAATATTTCAGATGGTTTCCCAGATCCCTCTAAAGTTTAAGAAAATGGTTTTCATCAAACATCTCAGAAGCTCAGCAGACTGAGAGTCCACAACTTTAGCTTGGTATAGGAGTTAAAATAGTATCTGATACAGGATCTGGAATGAGCAGATTGATTATAATACATTCCTGACACTGAAAAATTCATATGATATGATGCTGTCTGTACTTGAAAAGATTGCTGCAATTCTTTCCATCCCTTTCTGAGATGTGTTTTTATTTAGTGACTTAAGGAATGGGTATGCAGAGAAGCACGAGGAGTCGTCTTTCTTATCTGGCATCATTCAGCCATATAGATTTCATTTACTAAATTCATTGTTTCACACTGCAGCAAAAGTTGCATGATCCTTAGTGTACTAGTCTACAAACTTGATAATTGTAATTAAATGCTTTTTTTCTTCATTCTGCTGCTTGACTAAATAAGGTACTACAGCAGATTATCATTGTGAGATCTATGAAAAGACTTATTCAGCCATATTCATGTCCTATGAGGAAACACAGAAAAGATGAAGTAACCAGAAAATGAGCATTCAGTGTCCAGCTATAGACAGATTTCTACTTTATTAAAAAGACAAAGAAAGGCAGGTGTTTATTCATAGTGTCAGTAAAGGTGCTTAGTTAAATTTATTCTGCAGCATCTCAGCAGAAAACTATGCAGGTGATAGACTTCAATATAAACTGTTATACATTTATTTTTGAAAAGCGTCTGGTTCTAATTTTGAAAGTGTATAAATGCATAAATTCAAATATTAATCAAATCTTAATAAAATAATAGTATTATGACATTCAATAAAAGCTTTTTCCAACTGTTTTGAAGATAGTATGTATTAACCTAGGAAGTTAATTTGTTAACTTTTTTTCATATTTTGTTTTCTCTAGGAGTTTACATCTCAGTTCTGTTCCTTCAAGGGCACCTAACTTAATTTGAGTCTCTTTTCTGTGATGTTAGTGGCAAAACTCCTGCAGACTTCCCGTAGCATAGGAACATGCATTTATAGACATAAGTAAAGGATCTTTCAGTAATTCACTTCTGCTTTTTGTTTTAGGCTGTGGGCTTTCATCAGCCTGGCAGCATCAGAATTGCTTCAACCCCCACTAGGGTGGATGAATTCAAATACCAAATGACTCGTGCTGGTTGGCACCCAATAGAGCAGTACCTGATCACACCTGAGAAAGTACAAGAGCTATTTCCCTTATTGAACATGGATACGGTAAATAACCTAATTTTATGAAAAATAACATCCACTGCAATTAAATATTGGTTTATCAGATACGTAGACATAAGGTTTGTTTCCTTTATACAAATTGTACAATAAATTCTTATTTTTCAGTGAAAAAAAGATGCCTTGTAAACTAAAATCGCCTATGCACATTTTAATGCATAGTTTATGCCTGTATGCATACTATTAATTATAATATATGTAATATTATAATATTAAAGCATTGCAGCCTTTGCATGGGAGAGCTGGACAATTTTTCTTCCTTACACCATTGTTAAGTTGGCTAGCTGAAGGCCTGATATTATATGTTTTGAAAATCTGTTTTGATTTGGCTCTTTAAGGTTTACTGCGCTCAAAAAATAGTGTTTTTTAAAAAAATTAGTTAATTTTGATAAATTTTTGTTTCTTTAATTTTGTGGGATTTTACCTCCATTTAGGTTTTAGCTGGCCTGTATAACCCTGGAGATGGTCATATTGATCCCTATTCTCTCACTATGGCCTTGGCTGCAGGAGCCAGAAAATATGGTGCCCAATTAAATTACCCCATCCAAGTGACTAACCTGAACTCCCGATCAGATGGGACGTGGGACGTTGAAACTCCACTTGGAATAATTCAGACAAAGAGAATTGTGAATACTGCAGGTAACATAAGCATTTGTACACTCTTCAGATTTACAGGCTTGCTGATGTGGAGCGTCTGCACCGAATTGTGTGGTTTACAGGAATAGGTAATGTTTTTGAATATTCACTTGGTTTGTGGTAAAACATACTTTGTGCATATTACTTTACAGTAATGTGCAAATTTAGCTCTCATGCTAATTGTCATTGACTAGGCATTAATAATATTTCTTTCTGGTTTGTCTCCAGCGGTTACTAGTTGGACTGTCATGTTAGATTTTAGTAGCAGAAGGGACCTTTACTGATCTACAGCAAATTGTGTAGAAGAAACAGGATACTCTCTATGCATATCATCCTCTAAAATCTTACAAGAGCTACTTAGGAAGGGAGAAGGGAAGCACAAATGAAGTAGAAATGTCTTACGGTTTTCTCAAAGAGACTGAGGATTTGCAGCAAGTAAGATAACCCTGCTTATTTCAGTATTATCTTTCTGAGATTTGACTCTATCCACATATCCTGGAAACAGAACATTTTTGTTGCCCTTTGAATCATATTTTAAACATGCATTTGGCTTAACAATACATTTTTTCATGTAATAAAAATATCCTAACTCAAAGGAGCTTGTATTTACATATGCAATTTTTATTCTTCATTGTGTTAAGGAAGCCAAACTGATGTTTCTGCTTCAAAGAGCTTTTGGGCAAGAGTCCTTTGTATTTGTATTTGTTTTCCAAAACAAGTTGATAGGTCTAAAAACCTGTATTCAATCTAAACTTCACTTATTTTTATGCTGCTTTATACGAGTTACAGAAAAATACATTACTGGTGAAACTGTTGGCACCTGTGACATGAAGCGCACCTTCTACTTCCTAGTGGAGGACTTTCTGTTTTCAATTGTTTGAAAACATGCTGAATATTCACCATTTGGATGAAGTTTTTGCAGACTCTGTCTCAAACTGAATCACAGTATTTTTAGGGCATGAGTCTTTCATACATCCCATCTCAGTGAATAATCAGACTTCAGTAGGAAGCTGTGATGGCTCAAGAGGACTTTCTCTTCTTGCTCAAATGGGACAAGTGAACTGAGAGCAAAGATATGTCTTTATAATTCCTTTTTACGTCTGTGCACTATAAAAGAAAAAAGCATCTGTTACTAGTGCAAAGCAGATAAAATGAAGAAGTTGAGTGAGACAGGGACTATTCTTGTTGGTGGGTAGGATAACCATGGCTGACAATTGGAATTATGAGTGAGTTGTACTAGAAGGGGAATAGGCTGGGTGAGTGAAATCTTTGGGAAAGGTTCCTGGAGGTGGCTAGGAGCACTGGCAGCAAGTGGAACACTTATGTGCTAGAGGGCTTGCTGAATAAGGAAGCTCAAACCAGGAAGGACTGTGGGGATGGCAACAGTGGGGATGACACCATTGAGAGGGATAGTGGAAACAGATTAGACATGTTTCATTACGGGAACTGGAGCTGGCACTTTCTGGACAAAAAGATTAAGTTGGATACTTGAGGACTGGTTGTATTTGAAACTGAGACTGGAAAATTCAGGCTGCCTGAGTGTGAAATACTGTAAGAGTAGCAAGAAAAATGTAGATGGGAATAGATTGGAAGGCAGAGAAGGCAAGTGGGACAGGATATGACAAACAAGGAAGACTGACTTGCACACAGAGACAAAATAACTGAAGAAGGATGTAAGGACTGGAGTAAGAAGAGTAGAGTATGAGACTGAGCAGAAAAGAAGAATATATATATATAGGACAAGCAGGGATGGGGAGGAGAGATGATGGAGATAGAGAGAAATTTCGAGAGAATGGGATAAAGGAGAGCTCATCTTTTATCTGCTCATCTGAGAGGACAAGCTTTACTGAATGACCTTTCTTTCAGTGTTTGGGATGTAGACAGCCCCATGTTAGATCATTCCAGGCTTTCAGTAAAGACTAACTGGAAAACCCATTGGCAAGTGTGCTTTCTCATTGTATGCTTCTTATACATAGGTGATCACCTGTTATTGTTATGAGCCCAGCTAAAATAGCAGGGATCTGAAAAAGTTCACCTTGAGGTTCTAAGCATGCTCATGAAGTGTCATGATGTCTATACAGTGCCACATCTCTTTTTGGAGAAAAAGAGTAGTAGAAGAGCTCAGATATTTTTTAGAAAGCAAGGAACCACAGAAACCAGGAAACCAAATCAAAATAATTTTGTTTAGACTGGAAAGTCAAGCACTTAGAAGATGATAGGCATCAATATTTGATTGCCTTTGGACTGTCAGTTTATGGCTTTCAGGCATGAATTGTGGGACAGCATGCAGTTACAAAATCACAAGCTCTCTTACTAATAGGATCCTTACGTCATTTGTTACACAGTATGGATATATTGGTGTGGGAATGATCCAAGATTATGGAATGGAAAGGCAGCTCTTTTGGCAATTAGACTTCTTATTTAGACCACAAACTTCTAGGCACTCATTATTTCTAACCATTGGCTCTGCATCATATGGATGAAGTATCACAGATGTAGTAATTTCCTTACATTTTTGTAGTGCAGTTATCTTTCTTTGGCTTATGTTTTAGATTGACATTGGGCAGAGTTTTCTAGTAAATGCTTTTCAAAGTTTATTTGCACAAATTAGAATCCACCCTTGTGAAATTTTCATATTTTTTAAATTTAATAAGTTATAAAACCAACAATATATTTAGTTAATTCTTATGTAGTTAACTGTTCAGCCAGAGTGAACATTTGAAGCACATACTGCTTAGCATTCTGGCTAAGGATGTGAAATCAATACTGTATAACCCATATCTCTTATAAATGTTCTCTCAGCTAACATCCATTCTTTTTCTCAGCCTTGCCTCATTCCACTACAGATCATGAGTAGTATAATTCAGAGCTCATACTTTAGGCTCATGTTGCAATACGAGCAGAGAAAAATATTTCAGAAGGCTCTCTGCACTCTCTCTCCCCCTTCATTGCCCAACTGACATCTGCTGTGGAACTGGAACAGACTAGTTACAACCACTCTTTAGCTGCTCCTTATGTGAGATTTCCATTTTGGAAGAAAGCAGATGCCTAATAAATAATCCCTGACATGGACTAACTGATATTGAGCCTGCTGAAGTGATTTGCAGCCTATTTATACTGGAATGTTTGATTAAAGTCTGCAAAAATAGTGAATTTCATTTTTAAATACAGTATGTGTGTGTGTATATAAGCACAGGTTTGCAGACATTTACACACTGTTTGTATAGCCATTTATATATACATAGTGATGGAAAATTTCATCTTTTTTTAAAAACAAGATAGTCAGATTACATAGTTCAACAGATATGCCAAGTAATACCACTACTAAATATTTCAGCATCAGCTGTTTGCAATCTCTACAATTTAATCTTTACAAATGTCCTAGAGATATAATTTATACCTTTGTTTATCTCTACTATATGTGATAGGACTTGACATCTGCTTCCAATTGGAATTTTGTTTCAGAGAACATATTCTTCCTTTTGCCATTTTTGTGTTTGTAACAGCTTTTGCACATGGTTCAAAAACTTTAAACAAAGAAATGGCAATATTTTTCATTTAGTAAATGTCAGCCATTGTTATTCTGAGCAATTAAATAGGTTCTTATAAGTGTGATTATTTTTAGATGTACAATATTTAAAATTTTATTTTGAACACACCTAAATTATTTGCTTTTAATTCCAAAGCGTTTTAAAATCAGCTGTGTTTGTAATGTACTTCTGCAAACTTAATGGCTACGAAATTTATAATTATATTGAAAGAAACAAAGTTATATTTCAAAGACCTAAAATAAAGCTTCTAATTTATTTGAAGAGCTTGAATATCCTTATTCTATATTTTCCCACTCGTTGTGTTTTAATGAGTAAGGAAAATAGTGGATTTATTAGAAGCACATTCCCAAAGCATTATTTCTTTTCCAAATACCTTTTTAAGTCCAAGCAGGAAAAGAGTTAATGATACTAGAGACGGAATTTTCTGCTACTTCACTTTTCTGTCTTTATGGATCATTAGCTGACCTTACCTTAGAATTGTTTTCTTTGTAGGTGACAAGGAAATGCCCAAATCAAAAGAAGTTCCCTAAAGACTGTGAGCCTCCACTTAAATCCACATTTGTATTTATCATGTGTAATGGAGAAAACCCTTGCAGATATGCTAGAAATTCAAATTTATTTGATTTTTTTTTTTTTTTTTTTAATAAGGGAGCATAAATCAGGTTTCAGTAGCCTTAAAGGATGTTTTGAATCACTGTGTGGCTATGGCATAATCCTCCCTGAGCTAGTTTAACTGACTTAAGAAGTGTTCTGTCAGTGAATCTCCTCCAGGTGGTCAGGATGCCTTTAGAGAAGCAAAACTCTTACATATGATGAAAGCTGAACAACAGACACTGTTTTTTAGTATTTACTGGGCAGTGGCTTTTAAATGAACAGATCTGACTATCTTGATCCTGGATCTTCTGCTCCCTTGCTTGACCAGGCTGTCAGCTGTTGTTAAGGGAGTCACCACAGAAAACGTTTTCCTCAGGAACTTTGCATTTTTATAAGCTTTGGGTGTTAAATCCTGAGGCTGGTATGTAATATTAAATAAGAGATTGACAGCCCTGCTGGCATGGGGGAATGGCACAAGGCCAGCACGGCCCAGCTCAGCTTCCCTAATTGCCCTGGCTTTAGGCCATGCCGGAGATGAGAGGATGTCTTCCCAAGTGGATGTCAGCGCACAGCGCAGGCCTGTGGCTGCCCGTAGGACAGGGAGCCAAGTGTGGTAATGAGGCTGACAGGGCAGGGGCCGAGCCAGCAAGGGCTCTGTCCCACAGGGCACAAGGGAGGGTAGCGGGGCTGGCCCAGGGCCAGCAGCTGGGGTCAGCCCACAGTCCAGATCTCCAGACACGTTTGTGGGGATGAGGCACAGGCAGATCCATAGTGATGAAGCCAGATGGAGGCCAAGCCTGGAAGTCAATCTGCAGATGACATAACAGATCTGGTGACAGCAGCCAGGATCAGATAATGCCCAGTGATTCACAGGCAGGACCACAGATACGAGACTGGGCTGAGGTCAGGCTGGGAAATAATCCACGGATCAGGGTCTGGATCAATGAAGTCCATGGCCATGCGTGAGCATGGTTGTGACAGAGCTGCAAACAGGCACACTTGCAATCAAACCAGTGCAGACAGGTTCTAAAGGCCCTGAGCTGACCTGGGCCCATGAGCAGGGCTATGCATGGAAGTTTCACGTGAAGCTGCTCAGGATCATTAACTGCTGTTAGTGCCCTCAGGGCCCTGTCAGCTAAATTTTGACCAGCTCTTGGAAAGCATGGAATTGAAGAGAGAGGTGGGAGCATCCAGGTAAGACAAGTAAGCAGCAAAAAGGAAGAAGAGTTGTATGATAAACTGGGCATCAGGAGTGTAAGTCCCAGAAGGGGCAGCTGTGTTGGGTAGCAAATCTTGCTGGAATTGTGTTTTCCTAAACAGTTTGGAGTCAGCTGGTTACACAGGAACCAGACTGACCTGCCTTCTTTTCCTGGGTGCCATGTAACACATAGCCTTTTATTTGGAAGGCCCTGCTACCTCTTCCTCCTCTTCCATTTTGCCTTCCCCTAACCCTCACTCCTAGACTTCCCTGGAACTCCTGCCTGATTGGGTTTTCCCCCTTCATTCCCATTTATGAAACCTCCACTCCTTGATCTTAAACAGTCAGGAAAGTGGGGCTGAGGGATGATCCAAGCTTCTTACAGCAGCTGCCATCCCAGTCAATTCTATCTGTCTGATTCCTGGCTCCAACCTCACAGCAGATGTGAGCCATGATGTAGAGCCCAAACTAGTAAGTTTGACAGTTAAGTGGCTTCCAGTCCTTGACTTTAAGACAGATACCTCATTAAGTGAAGTCCTGCCGGCTGGAAACAGTGAGTCTGGAAGGACCATAATGGAGAAGAACTAGGTTTTTGTGCTGGTTTTGGCTGGGGTAGAGTTAATTTTCTTCACGGTAGCTAGAATGGGGCTGTGTTTCGGATTTGTGCTGAAAACAGTGTTGATAATACAGGGAACAGGTGTGTGGTGCTTAGTTGCTGACTGGGATTAAACCACAACAGTCCTTTAACTTACACCTAGTTGTATATATAAAGAGCCTGTATAGGCTTCAAGGGCAGGGAAATTGTTGCTTGCTTTTTCTGGTCACAATTTGTATCAGAACTTTTAATTGCACAGCTATGGAAGAGCACACTGACTACTCACCAATATGAACATCATAATGAATTGATTGCTATGTGAAAGACATAATTAATATGAGTCATGTAATGCATGTGAAAGAGGAGAGAAACTTAAATTCTTGAGGTTAGCTGGCTGGAAGTACTGCATTGCTCTGTTGGAGTGTTAGCACTGAATACTGTCTTGGGAAAACGTAGTAGCTCATTTGGTTAATACTTAGAGGCTAGGTTAACAGCTATGGTGTAAGCTAATTTATTCTGGTTTTTAAGTGTCTCTGACTTTGCTAGGACTGCAGTGCAGACCTACTTTGCTGAAATAAGCCATGGGATTTGTGGGACTGTTAATTAAACTATCTTCTGAACTTTTAGAAGCCTAATTTATATTTTTCTAATTACATTTTTTCAATATCTGTATACTAGAATAATATATGGCAGTATAATTAAGAACAAGAACAAGGAATTACGGATGGAAAATTATGCTGGATATGAAAAATGAAAAATAATTTGAAAGTTAAAAATATGGAAAAAAATTTCTTTGTCACATTCCATAAAGTACAGTGCTTCCTGCAAATGTTTTACTGTTATATTCTATTCATTGAAATTAGTTTTTGAATATTTCTGTTTTGTTTCCTGTCTTCTCTAGGCTTCTGGGCCCGTGAAGTAGGCAAGATGATTGGCCTGCAGCACCCTCTCATACCCGTTCATCATCAGTATGTTGTGACATCGACTATCCCTGAAGTGAAAGCCCTAAAAACAGAATTGCCTGTGATTCGTGACTTAGAAGGATCATATTATCTAAGGCAAGAAAGGGATGGTCTTTTATTTGGTCCATATGAAAGTGAGGAGAAGATGAAGCTGCAGGACTCATGGGTAACAAATGGAGTCCCACCAGGTAATTAAGAACATTAAATCTCCAAACTTGATAAGCACTAGCATATGTTTTAATGTGTATAAATCCCAGCCTGTTATGCTGCCTTATGTGATGGAAAATAGAAAATATTTGCAATGCATGATTGTAATGCAGAAACTTTTTTTCAAGGAATAGAGCTCTAATAAGAGTGAATAGAAATAAAAATGTAACATAAAAAAACCTATTTGAAATAGGCACAAAATACATATCTACAACTTAGTCTTACTCTCTGAACAGTTGCTTGTGTGTTGTGATTAGATGCAGTAGCCTTTTGCAACTGAATAAGGATTTTTCTAAGTTACAGTTCTCTCCACCATACTGACAGGGGCTTTGGATTTTTGCTGTTCCCATAGAGATAATGTGGTTGTCAAATAAGAACACAGGTGTAGCAAAGGAATGTCTTAAACAAAATGCTCTGCCGAAATGTAAGTGCAAGCGAGTTGTAGATTTGTATAGAATTTTTGTACAAAAAGTCCCAACCATGTCATACTGCTCCTTATTAAAAAAAAAAAAAAAAAAAAAAAACCAAAAAGTTGAAATTACTGTGTTATATCTAGGCTCCAGCTTTCCATTCACTTCTCGACAGAAAACTGTATTAAGTCAATAGTGTTGCTGTTTTAAAAAACACAGCATATTTCCTAAGGAAGAGAACCAGCATTGTTGAGCTTTGTATTGCACTGTCACAGCTTCCTGAACTTACTGTCTCCAGTAGTGTCAAATCCCTCTACAGAGTGATGTTCTAATACTTAGAGCCCAGACTGAAGTCTGAAATATATTGAGGAATTCACTAAACACTGTGGAAATCATAAACTGACACAGGCAGAATCTTTCTTCCCCTCCCTGAATTGTTGGCATATTGAGAAAAATAAGTGGGTCTTATTAACACAGAAGGATGTTTCTGTATTTCTCCACTTCCTTTCTACTTCATTGTTGAATTTGCGTGACCTTAGGGTTAAACAAATATGTATAAAGAACAGTGTAAATGCAGTGACAATAAACTTGATCCTTCAGGTAACTAGGGATTTATGCACACCATTTTTCTTGTGTAGGATGGCAAAAGCTTGAACCTGCTCACTGATGAATTCCATATAACTTTTATATATGTAGATTGCATAAGTATTTAAAATGTAAGTACTTTGAATGTAATTAAGTATATAATAAGAGTCAAATATTTGTGCAGGTTTTGGAAAAGAACTTTTTGAGTCTGATTTAGACAGAATAATGGAGCATATTGAGGCTGCTATGGAAATGATCCCAGTTCTGAAAAATGCAGACATCGTAAACACAATTGCAGGTCCTATCACCTATTCTCCAGACATTCTTCCTATGGTGGGACCACATCAGGGTGTCAGAAATTACTGGGTAGCTATTGGTTTTGGGTGAGTAAATTCTTCGTGACAACTTTTGTCTGTCATATTGTTAAAATGGCAGTCGGCTCAAGCTTTGCAAATTTTTATGGATTTGGGGGTTGTTTTTCACTTAATTTATGTGAAATGTAATTGGAAATAGTCTTAATTACAACTACGTACGTAATACAAGCTCTTTCTTCCTTCTTCATAACTGATTATTTTTTCAGTTTGTTTCCTCCTTTTATTCTGGAGGCCAGTATCTGTGACTCTTCATGAAGCAGCAAGAAATGCATAGTACTTGGAAGCGTCGTGCAGCAAGTTGAAGTCATAAAAATACTGGGCTTTAAAATATGCTTTCTAGTTCATTTTATGTATTACCCTGAGTTACATTATGTTCAACAGTTGTTTTGCATATGCAGAAACTGGTGTCACTGAAGTTGTGGCAAGAATGATTGGTACAGGGTAATCTTCTAACATGAGGTATTAAGTTTGGGGTGAAGCAGAAGAGACTGCCAGCACACTGGGTGACTGACTGCTTTAAGGATGTGAATACAGTAATGGTTCTGACTGTGGAAGGTTGAGCAGAGGAAGTACGTTGCTGGATGTTGGAGGAAAGCACATGGGGACAATGTGAAAACAAGAATGGGTGTTTTACTGGTGTCATTTATTCTCTCCTGCCCATTATGATACTTTCATTGAATGTGACTTACATCTTAGACGCTCTAGCTCCACTGAAGTCAGTGATAAAACTCTTACTGATTTTTCTTTAAGTGTCTTAGTTTGATCATTGATTCAAGATGGATAGAATGAACTGAATACAATTCTGGGCACATGTTATTGAACACATTTTGTTAGCATTGTTTTTCCAGTTGCCTAACTTGCTGTTCAAAATCCACCTCAGCTTTTTCTATTTTTTTGTCCAAACCAAACAAACCCTTAGATCATCAGATAAGGTAGTACCACCGAAGTGCTTTCTGAGGCCCTCAAAATAAAAACGTTTGGTAATTTTGCAATGATTCATTGTGAAAGGTATTCACCTTTGCTGCTTGGATTTAGAAAAAAAAATGTTATCTTTTAGTAACATTTGCAGAACTTATAGTTACAAAAGTGGTTTGCCTAGTCCTTGTACACCAAAAAGACTAAGTCCATTATTGTGCTGCCAGACTTTGGAACCTGTTTTCTTTTACTGGTGTCAATGGGAGCAGAATCTAAGTTCCATATAGGAATAACTGAAGGTTAGTGTTACATGTTTAAATTTCTTTAAACAACTTATTTCAGGAATTTGATTAATCTCTAAATATTTCAACACAGGTTGCATTATGTTGCTGTCATTGGATTGCTCTGTCTGCTTTTCAGGGACTTTTGACTCTGTTCTACACTTCTGGGTCACTGCAGTGTTTCTGCTAGTGTTGTAATTTTTTGTGTGCATTAGCAAATCCTTATCTCATAGCCACCTAGCAGGGACATTGTGACAGAGGACTTAGTGCCGTTAGTTTAGAGGATTTTTATTACCTAAAATTAGCAGCTTGCTAGGCATTTTAATGTGCAAAGCAGTTAATAAGTATAGTTAGCGGAGCTTGTAGCACTGTTTATTATTAAGGTTGCTCAATGCTTCCCTTTTAAGGCTATTTTCAGTTACTTACAGCTTTGAAAATGTTAACAAGAGTAGACTAGAACTTTATTCAGAAAGGTTTAAGTTAAAGCAGTGGAACTATTCCAAAACACAAGGTTTTTGGAAGGTGTATTGTTTAACTGTGTTAAGGTTTTACAGGTGGAGTCTTTCTTTTGAAAAGCTCTAATTTCCCCATTTTCCAAGAAAGAACTTCATATTCGTCAGGAGTGACCTTTCTCCTAAAGATATGCCTTTCTGCTGTTCTTCACAAAATCTGCCCACGAGGCCCATGCACAAGTCTCCATAAGTGTTACAGCTCATGAACACTGAATAGAGACTGAATCTTACACTAAGATTCCTGCATTCTATCAGTCAGAGAATGAACAGTTTTCCTGCAGAAATGAGATAGCAAAATGGCTAAACTTGGAGCAGAGACACTAGAAAAGGAACCATGATGTGCAAGAACTCAGATTTCCTAGGAAAAAGAATGGGATGAGTTGAAAATCAGTGAGAATCTAAAAAACTTGATGGTATTTGGTCTGTTGCCACGCACAGTCATGCAGTGGTCTCTGTGCTGTGTTCCCTTGTGCTTTTGGCTGAAGTGAACGTTGCATGGAGGTCTAAGCTCTCTAAAACTTCTTCTGGAGCTGCTCTTGAAGGCATCATAGCCATGGTCACAAAACTTATACCCATTGATAACAAACAGTTGCCTAATTAAATTAACTCCAGCAATTGCTAGCTCTTCTGTAGTACTTGCAGATTGGCAGTTTACAAGCACTCATCCTTACTTCATCAACTACGCTGATACAAGCCTGTGCTGAGAATCTGAATATTTATTCTGAACAGCCTAAAGGAGTGTGTTTGAGAGAATTACTTCTTGTGCTCAACTGTTTGACATTTCTGTTTTATTTAAACAAATAAATAAATTGCAGACAAAACCCCACTATATCAAAGTAATCTCATTAATATTATGAAGTCGGGCATTTTGCAGTTAGGAAATGCCAGAACTAAGTTGTCTGTGTAATCTGAATTCATTCTTCTTATGCATTAGAATTAAGTGATTACATCTTTTTTTTCCCCTCCAAGATCCTTACCTATTTCATTGCTAAATTGATGAACAGCAGTTCAATTTTGTTTTGTCTTCACTATTAAGTTGTGTGTGTCTGCGATTTTGCTGCATGCTAATCTAAACTTGGTTTCGGACAGACTTACTGTTTCTTCAAGGATTTTTCTGTTGTGCTCATTGGAGCATTTCACAAATAACTAAAAAATTATTTTCACATCTTCCCTAGACAGGAAAGTATTTTGACACTTTTTTTTTTTAGACATAGCAAACTAATTCACAGAGGTATTAAATTAAAAAGTTTTAAATCATTCAGTATTAATAATTATTTGTCATTAAATATTTTGATGTCAAATCTGAACTGCCTGTAATTCAGCATTTCATAGTACTGTTTGGTCATATGTAGACTGAGTAGTGACATACACATGTTGCAGCACAGTGAAGATCCTTGTCCCCAGTTGTCCACTTAAGGTACCTCACAGGAGCGCATTTCACACACAGCTTTTTCCCTATGGATGTCAAGTTGTCAAGCATTTGGAAAGTTAGAATTATGTACAAAATGTTCAAATAGTGAAACCTTACATCTATCACTTCATAACTTTTGAGCATCTACCTTTTCTGTCTGATGTGGTTTCTATAATGCAGGTTTCTATCAGGAGATCTCTGCAGCCTCGTCCTTCACAAACTCATTGTGTAGAAACAGGAGAGGCTTTTCCTACAGACTGGTAGCAGAAAATTTCTACATGTTTTTTTTGTTAGCATAAGCTTTCTGGAACCGGTTCTCTTTGCAGCTGTAGTGAAAAACAGAGAAGGTAAATCAGGTGAGAAACAGCAGCTTTCAATTCTGGCACCACTGCAAACAAGTCTTCTAGTTTTATCTGCAGTTCTTCCACATTCCCTGATTCTTTAAAGCTGTCTCAGTGGTATTGTCTCCTGACTTTTGCTGCTTTTGCCCTTGTCACTGTCATACACTTACTGTAGCTGCTAGAATGTCTCAGTTTGGTTTTTCAAATCTGAGACTAGTTTAATCAAATATGATTGAAAAAGAAGAGGTAGTCTATGACTAGGAAGTATATTTAATGGATACCAGAAGTTTGAGAACTTTCTTTAGTATTAATTGTTGAAGATTTCTAATGTCCGTGGAAAAGATGGTTAAATTCTGAATTTTAGAGAAAGAGTGAGCTTGCTGTAATCTCAAGCACTGCAAATGCTGTACTTCAGCAATGGAGTTTTGCTGCTGACAGTGGGACAATAGAAATACCTGTCAATAAAGCATGTAATGTTGGAAAACAAGACAAAATAGATCAAACAAACAAACAGAGGGAAAAATTTAGAATACTTTAGGGGATGTGTTATTAGTATATGCAAATACTGTTTTTTAATGACAAACCAACAAAAAAAGATTTGACAGTACAGGACTTTTTCGTGTTTTCAAGGTATGGCATTATACATGCTGGTGGCATAGGAAAGTACCTCAGTGACTGGATCCTTGAGGGGGAACCTCCATTTGACCTGATAGAATTAGATCCCAACCGGTACGGAAAGTGGACCACCACAGAATACACAGCAGCCAAAGCAAGAGAATCTTATGGTTTTAATAACATTGGTAAGAAGGTATTTTAAAAATACTTTTATATCCCAAAAACGGATTCCAACAAAACCTGCCTCTAGATTTCTCTGGTTTTGTGTGTGTGTGTATATATATATATATATA